CTGCCCGCCGCTGCGATTTGCGTGGGGGATGCTGCCGGAGGGACCCGTTTCCTTCCCTCCGTGTGGCCGGCGCCGCGCTCCAGGCAAGCGGTGGGGTCCGAGTCGTGCGCCGGGCTAGTCCCTCTGCTGGGGATCCGCTCCGCTCGCAGCACCAGGGAGCAGCCGCCCGCCTCGCTTTTGAGGTCACCTTTGGCCAAGGGGGTTACAGCCGGGTCAGGTCGCGGTTCTCTCCAGCGGGGGGTGGCCGTTTCCTTCCCTCCGTGTGGCCGGCGCCGCGCTCCAGGCAAGCGGTGGGGTCCGAGTCGTGCGCCGGGCTAGTCCCTCTGCTGGGGATCCGCTCCGCTCGCAGCACCAGGGAGCAGCCGCCCGCCTCGCTTTTGAGGTCACCTTTGGCCAAGGGGGTTACAGCCGGGTCAGGTCGCGGTTCTCTCCAGCGGGGGGTGGAAATTAGCCCCGAACTCGCACTCTGCGCTGCGCGGTGGCGCCAGGCCGGAGGGGAGCAGCTTTTGGACGGGCAAACACTGTCGAGGGGTCAGGATCCCTTTAGCCGGCCTTAATTGGCACCGAATTCCTGCCTCTCGCTGCACTTCGTTGGATTTGGGGCTCTTGGCTTCATGGAGGCAAGTGGTGTCAAGGAAGGTTATCGCACACGCAGGCTTCATGCAGGGGGAGGATGTGCTGGCAAGTGCCCTGAAGGTTCTCATGAATGTCACGACGGGCAGAACACACTGTTACAATACACAGGGCAATAATAAAAACGAATAGTCCTGTGGCACCGTAGAGACTAATCAAAGATGTATATAGTATCATGAGCTTTTCTGGGTAAGACCCACTTCATCAGATGAATCAGAGTGGAAATAACAGAATACAAGATATTGAGGGCAATAAGCGACCAAGCTGTAAGGCACTGGGATAACTAATTCCTTTAGTCTCCAGTGAGGTTCACACCATGGTGCAGACTTATAAGAAGAGTTTGCAGTAATCAGCTTTGCTTCCTGCACTTTTCCAATCAAACCCAAAGATGAGTTACTGTTTGGGGCAAGCTGAGAGGCCCAGCACTCATTTTGAGGGACATGAAGGTGCATGTCTGTTTCTGTTGGTATCCCCTCATACACAGAAATCCTTTCTATGCAGGTAATTATGCTGTGTTTGCACCACTGTACAGTACTCAGCGGGAATTTTGCCACTGACTTCAGTGGGCAGAGGATTCATTCCTGTAAGAATTGACCCCATCCCTTTTAACCAGCCGCCACCATCTCAAGTTTTTCAGATAAAAATGAAAGAGTTTTTAAAATTAAGTATCTGCAAATGACTTGGCCCTAATACAGCTGCAGTTCCATGGTAATCATTTCATAATAGCCTTTTAGTGGTTGCAATGGCTGGAAAGGTTCTTGTATGTTGGGGTAATAATATTGAAAAGCTGTCAAGACTCTATTCAGATTAAAAGCTTTGAAAAAGATAAGGTGCAATGTCGACATAATATACTTAGAAAAATGTGAGCTGCTTTGGGACTTGTAAAACATATTCACTAGCAAGATGTTTTTACAGAGCTGTGATTCCATTTGCAATAATCATAGTAATAAATAATGCTGCCATTAGAGGAAAAATTCTATTCCTAAATCTCTCCACTTGTTATGATACTTTTGATCAAATATTTGGTATCAACAACCATTGTCTTGATTTGTATTATGTTTTTAACAGCCTGCATGCACTAGACCATTGTTTCCATTATTGGGACACCAGTCATACTAGAATAAGTGTAACGAAATCTGTCCTGTTGCACTGAAGTACTAGTTAGGACCTGATTGTATGGTCCTTACTCAGGCAAGGCCTGGTGAGTTCACTTTATTCATTATGTTATGCACTTGTGATTATGCAATACTGGTGTGTTTGAACTGTGCAAGTATTTTGAAGAAACAAACAACAGGAATGCACTATATTTTTTAGTCAACACATGTAGGACAAACTGGCCGCTTTAGCTAACTTTACTGAATAGGCTGCTCCAGAAATAATTTTATTGAACTTTAAATATAATGGAATGGAATTAAATCATGGTACAAAAAATTTGAAGTCCATTTATTTGTGTGTGTAAGTAGGGGACGATATATCTATTAATTGACCATCACAGGACCCATGTAAAATGAGAGTATCACTTTGAAAGGGAAAGAAATACATCTTGATAGTAATATCAAATTCTAAACTCTATGTTATTAAAATGAAATAATGTCCTGACAACCATGGATTGACCTGGCAGAAAATGAAAACATCTCATTTTTCCTGATACAGTGATTTAGTGGAATAGAATACATACATGCTGAAAAAAGATATAAGGCACAAATTAAAGTGCCAGTTCTGTAATCTAATATGATAGCATGGATCCTGGCACCTGTGCAGATTCTCTTTAACTTCAGTGAGGCTTGATGTTAGTGGATCCCGATGCAGGATCTGTCCCTAAAATATTTAGGGAGATTTACCATTGACTTTAGTGGGAGAGAGGTAGCCAACGGCTAAATACTCTTGAAAATCCCAGCCTTTATGTTCACAATTCAGCATGTCTTGGCTGTGCCGACGAAAGCTCATGATACCATCTACATGTTTTGTTAGTTTATAAAGTGCTACCAGACCATTTGCTTGCTGTTTTTTTCTGTAACAGACTAACTCGGCTACCCCCTGAAGCTCCTGCACTGATTTAATTTGTTTGCATGCTTCTAACAGCCTATA